TGGATGACCAAGAAATTAATAAAATCATCAAAAAAAAAAAAAAACTTTATGATAAATATTTAAGACATAAAACATATAAAAATGAAATAAACTACAAAAACTATAAAAAATTATTTGAAAAAAACAAAAAACACTTAAAAAAAAATTTATTATACAAAATTGTTGGAAAAAACTAATGGCGACACTAAAAAAACGTGGAATATAATTAAACAAATAATTGGTAAAAATAAATGTGAAAAAAATAATCTCCCACAAAAGCTTTTAATTGATGGGGAAATGGTTTACGATTAAAAAAAATAGCTAAAGAACTCAACTTATTTTTTCTCGAAGTAGGGCCAAACTTGGCGAGTAAAATTCCGTCAAGTACCACAAAGTTTGAATCTTACATTAAATCATGTAATTCTATTATGGAAGAATCTAATTTAAATCTAAACGAAATATGGAATGCTTTCAACAGTCTTAAAAGTAATAAAAGTGCGGGCATTGACAAAATAGTGTGAATGTTGTTAAGTCAGTCTTCGATGTCATGAACCGTCATTATTTCATATTTTTGATCTTTCATTAAAGCTAGGTGTTGTGCCGAAAAAACTTAAAATTGCCATAATCACTCCCATTTTTAAATCTGGTGACGAAACTAATATTAACTACTACAGACCTATTCCGTTTTACCCTGCTTCTCAAAATTATTGGAACGAATTATGTACAACAGACTTTACAACTATTTGATGTTAAACAGTTTGCTGTACAGTAAACAATTTGGATTTCAAAAAGATAATTCAACAAACCATGCTATAATCGAACTAGTTAATCATGTATCGGATGCATTCAATAATGACTATTTTACTCTTGTAGTTTTTATTGATCTGCTTTTGACACTGTTAACCATAAGATACTTATAAAAAAACTAGAACTATATGAAATAAAGAATAAAAATTTACTTTGGTTTGAAGATTACCTAGCGAACAGGTCACAATGTATTACTTATAATAAAAAAGAATAAGAAAAACATATTTCATGTGGTGTGCCCCAAGGTTCAATCTTAGGGGCGTTATTATTTTTATTGTATATAAATAATTTATACTTAGCATCAAATATTTTAAATGTTATATTTTTTGCAGATGACTCCAATCTTTTTTATTCCAACAAAGATATAAAAGCTCTCTTTAATATATTTAATCAAGAACTACTCAAAATAAACGATTGGTTTACAAGCAATAGGCTTTCGTTAAATGTAGAAAAAACTAAATTTATTGTACTTTCCAAACCTAGTAAAGATGATGATATTCCTCTAAAATTACCCAATCTCCTAATCAATAAAACATTTATTAAAAGGGAACCAATCGTTAATTTTTTAGGAGTAATAATAGATGAAAATTTGTCATGGAAACCGCATATAAAAAATAAAATATCAAGAAACATTTATATATTATATAAAACTAAATCATATCTTAACACCTTTTCTCTAAAAAAAATATACTTTTCATTTATTCATAGTTTTATCTCTTACTGCAATATTGTATGGGGTAGTACTAACTATGGTAAGATGAAAAAACTTCATAGTAAGCAAAAACATGCATGCAGAATTATATTTGGTGCCCACAGAACTTTTCAATGTGAACCTCTTTGGAGGAAGCTCGGTGCCTTAAGTGTCTATAAACTTAATATACACCAAGTTCTACAATTCATGTTTAAAACTAAACATGAACTCTCTCCTATTGTATTTCAGTCTTTTTTTAGTGAAATCTCGCACAAGTATCCTACTAAATTTTCAATTAATAACTTTATTGTTGCAAAAACTAATTCAAAACTAAATTCTTACAAAATCCAATACCGCGGACCGTTTCTATGGAAACATTTTTCAAAATTTATCACAAAAAATAATAATGTTCAACACATCTCTTTGGAAAAATTTAGAAAAAAATCTAAGAATCTCTTATTACAAAAAGACTTTGATTTAAAATATCTCTTTTAAAAATAATACACAAATAATATGAATTATCTAAAAAAATAGTTATTGACACTACTTCTCTTTTGTTGCAATTTTAGTCTAATTTAATTTTTTGTTGAAAAATTTTAATACTTTAAAATTATTGTTAATCTTTGATATAATGCGTTATATTTCAACATTAATATTTATATTATGTTATTAGTTATATTGTAACTAACGTATTTAAAATTATTGTTATGTACTTAGCTACTCTTCATTTTTTATATTAACTGACGATTTTTTAGTGTAAATTTTTTGATGGGGCTTGATGATAAGACAATTTATGTCTTCTGCTTGCTCCAGTTCTCTTATTAACACGATTTATTTCATTGTAAATTTTAATATATGACAAAACTCTTTGGTTAAAAAAAAAAAAAAAAAAAAAAAATTACAACTTATAAAAAACAATAAAATACAAAAAAAAAACTTATAAAATACAATTTTATCTTCTAGTTTATATATTTATATCTTTACAATAAACGATTTTATTGTAAAGACATAAATATATAAACTAGAAGATAAAACTGTATTGTTTTTTATGAGTTTTAATTTTTTTTTTTTTTTTTAACCAAAGAGTTTTGTCGTATATTAAAATTTACAATGAAATAAATCGTGTATTTGTAAATTACGATTTTATAAAAATAATGCTCGGTGATAAGACATTATGTCTTCTTCTTCCTCCACTTATTTATTTTGTTGTATATGTATGTATATAAAAAAAGGAATTTATATTAAAAGGCGAAATAAACCTAAAAAAAAAAATTTTTCTTGTTAATTAATGTCGAGAAAATAGTTCAAATTAAATCATAAACTAAAGATCAACGCAAAAACAAAAATCGTTTGAATAACAAAATAAAAAACTTACTGCATCGAATTTTAGTACAGTTATAATCCATAGAAATAATACTCCTTCAACTTCATTGTTGAAAAAGTTTATAAGAAACTGTGATAGTTGTCTGCCATCACAAGCTTGTTAATGGAGTATTGAAAATGAAAATATTACTGATGAAAAGTTAAAAGAAAAAGTTAACCGTGATGCTAAAAAATTTAAACTTGTTAAAAATCCTAAACGACATTGCTGGTTGGTAGCCCTGATGGGTTGTGTAATAAATAAGACAACTACCAAATGATTGAAGTAAAGTGGTCTTTTTCAAAAAAAAATCTTTCTGTACAAAAAAAGTTTTATGTGTAAGTTTGTACATATAAAACTTTTCGTATAGAAATAGCAGATGGATGGCAAAAATTAAAAATCAAAGAGTTGATTTTACCAATACCAATGTATTAAAGCTTTTACAGAAACTAACGAAATTGAATTTGTTCTATATACAAATGAAGACTTTTTTGTGTAATCAATTAAATTTGAAAGTTAAAACTGGTTCATTAAGACTTTACCTTATTTATATACATTTTATTTTCAGTTTATTACTAAAAAATATTTGAAAGGATGTAAAAGTTTGCATGTAAAAATTATTATTAGAGTTTAATATTTTGAAGCATGTAAAAGTTATTATTAGAAATTAATATTTTCTTTATTCTTCAATATTTTCTTTGTTGGGAAATGCATAAAATAATAAATTTTTATGTTTTAATATTAAAAATATTTATAAAAAATATTTAATATTAAAAAGTGCGCAACCACTGCACCACGGCTGCTCAATGTTGTGTACCGAAATGCTTTAGCAACTTATTATAACAAGTTGCTAAAGCATTTCGGTACACAACATTGAGCAGCCGTGGCGCAGTGGTAACTCTTGCTACCACTGCGCCATTTTTAACACTATTAAATTTTCACTGCCAAATTTTTAACACTTTTAAATTCTGAGGCACTTGCCTCAGAAAAAAGTTTTGCGATATCGGTTAGGAAGGAGGCGTATATACTTCCGCGTATATACAAATACCATAATGCATTGCATTTAAGGGGAAGAGTGAATTAGTCAAAATATGGAATAAAAACAAACAAAAAAATTTCGAAATTAAATTTTAAAGTAGCTTTATATTAATATTAAGAACCGTTATTAATATTAATGTAAATGATTATTAATATTAATATTGATATAAATTAATATTAATATAAAACCGTTATTAATATTAATATAAATTAATATTAAGAACCGTATTTCATTTTAGCAAAAATTTACGCGATAAATTTGCTCATTTTGACATAAAAAAAATCTATTTGAGAAAAAAATGCTAATTAATGTGTCTGTTGAAGCAAATGTAAAAATTCATTAACCTGTCTCTAATAAATTTTTACGATGCAATATCTATTCTTGGATTACATACACCGTCGCATACTTGAGTTACATACACTTGTATCTAATCATATGTGAAGTACATTATGCAAAGTATAATTTTAAAATAGATGCAAAGGGGTTGTTGTAGATTGTTTTATCATCTTTATGCCTACTTGTTGGCCATTAAGAGTTTTTTTGTTTTTTAAGTTGATTAAGGTGCCCCAAGAAGTCCTTATACCATGTTCACACTAGCGATGTTCGGCGGAACATTATTCCGGAACAAATGTTCCTGGAACAAAATGTTCCACAAAATGTTACTTGTAGCGTTCACATGTAAAATTGGCACAATAAAAATTAGTGAAAAACAGTTTGGCAAATACACATTGTTAATATAATTTATTAATTTTTAATATTTATTCATTTATGAGAGGTAAAACTAAATGCAAATAACGCTGAGGGTTCAGCTAGCTCAGAGTTAGACAATAGAAACCCAACCCAAAAAACCCGCCATACAAAAGGTGACGTTGGAATTTTGTTATCCCGTTTCTTGGCTTTTATGGATAGGTCATATCTCCTTTAGTCGCTTTTGACGACACAGAATAGTAGTCCATCAGTGGTATAGTACCGAATAAACATATTATACATTAATATGTTACCCACGACCAGTTAAAACTAATCTCATTTTGTGTTCATACATATTTAATATTTATTTATTTAGACACATTTGATAACCTCAAGGAAAGTAAGTTTAGTTCAAAACTACTAAATGCATAACCATATTACAGCTAAAACTTTAAATAATAAATGATATTATTACTACTTTATAAATAAAATGATATTATTACTACTTTACTTGTCCCTTTCATAAAGGTATTTAGCAATTGAGTCACGAACATTTTTTCCTGGTCCATTATTCCCAGTTGTAGAAACTGTATTGGGTTGAGCTAGACTGTCATCATGATGATGCAGAAGCCATTCTATTATAATAATATCATCATAATATTCACAAATGTTGTGAAGAGTGACGCAAGCATTAACAATTCTTGTAGCAAAGTTAATATCGCATTCCATACGTTTGCAAATTACACGGAATCGAGCTTTAACGCGCCCAAAGGCATTCTCAACTACTCTTCTAGCTCCGCAAAGTATTTTGTTGAAATTTTTTTGAATTTCACTAAGCTCCAAATTTTCAGGATAAGGTTTTAACAAATGACGCGTTAAAGGAAATGCTGAATCACCTATCAAACATAGTGGAACAAGAGAATCGCCCAGCTCTTTACAACATTTATCAAATAGATTTGATTCTAAAATTCCTTTCAAAGAAGAATTCTGCAAAATATAGCTGTCATTATTTCTACCAGGCAATCCAACACTTGTATAAATGAAACGGTATCGACTGTCTACAACGGCAAAAAGTACAATGGAATACCACCCATTATAATTATAATAAGAAGTTGCTTGATCTTTAGGGGCTGAAATAGGGATGTGGCATCCATCAACAGCTCCAACGCATTGTGGAAAACCAAGAATAGCTTCGAAATCTCTACTATGTTTATTTAAATTTTCCACTGACAATGGAAATTTAACATATTTAGGGAGCAAAATGTCATTAACAGCATTAATAACTTCATGAACAATTAAATTTGCTGTTGACTTTCCTATGCCAAAAAGGCTAGACACAACACGATACTCTTCACATAAAGCTAGATAATGTAATGCAACTGCAACACGTTTTACTACTGAAATAGGTTCTCGCATAGTTGTGGTAGTTTTGCCTAAATGTGGATGCAATTCATTAACTAGGAAATTAAATGTGTTACGATTTACTCGAAAATGCTCTTTAAATTCACATTCCTCCATTTGAGTAAAAATCTCATTAAACCATTGAGAACTTTTTGGCCTAACCCAAACTTTTCTTTCAATCAGATACCCTTGTTGATTTAACTTAAAGGAAGCTAAATTTAAATATGAAAATGGGTGGGTGATTGATTCATCATTGATTAATGTTCTTCTTCTTAATCGAAGTACGGCCAAAACGCTTTCCATGTTTTTCCAATAGCTTTTTCCTTTACCGATGTCTCCCTAAAAAACTATTAAAACTATATAAATATATTAAATAAATATAATACTTATTATATTACAATTCAAGGGAAATTAAAACACATTTTTAAAAACCATTTTGTTAGAATTGATACAGCATGATCTGTTAACAAAAACAAAAATGAAACGTGTAATGCAATTTGTATAAATTAAAAACAAAACACGTTGGCAAAAAACATATCACTATAATTCATCTACAGGATTGCTTCATATTGCAAAAAAAAAATTATTTGGTAAAAATACTTAATATATATAGCATAGAGATACAAGAAAAGGTATTTATAAAATAACATGACAAATTTAAAAAATAACACCAGATATGCATTTTAATGCTTGAAATCACAAAATATTTTTATTTTATATAAAGTAAAAATTCCTTTGATAATAGTAATATGGTAACATGAAAAAATATATATAAGTAGAGCTTCATCTACAAGCTTGTACAATATTTCACTAACCATCTCTTTAGTTAAAACATTGAAAAACCTTATGAAATATATATTGCATAGAATTGTAAACAAGGTATACTGTTGAAAAAATACTGACCTTTCAACTTTAACATAATTACTAAAAAGATATCTTGACTAATAGAACACCTTATTTTTTTATTAAAAATTTATAATATTCTACTTGGGCTTTAGACACATCTACTTGGGCTTTAGGTGCATTTTCAATTGCATCGCAAATACGCTCTAAAGCAACAACCTCTCTGATTCGTAGCTCTTGTGAACGGATTTGAACATCTAGATTTTTATTTGCTATTTTTAAATATTCAGAAAAAAAATTTGTTTTTTTATTTTTTCTCACCGGTTCAGTTTTTGCTATTTTATTCAAAGTTTTTTCATCATCAGAGCTCCTCCGTTTATTGCAGCCGGATGTAGATTGAGTTGGTTCCTCATCAGGAATAGTGACAATTGATTGCACATCGCTTGTATCATCCAAAGCTTCAGTATTTAAAATACTGACAGTCTCCTTGCCATCTTCCATTGTGGCAATCTGTAAATAAAATATACACATTAAAAAAATTACACATTTGAGAAATGATTATAAATCATGTTTCAATCAAAATTTATCTCTTGACTTTGAAAGACTTGACTTGAAGTCATTTTACTTCCTTCCTTCCCTAAACAAAAAGGATCTATTTAGACAATAGCATTTTACAAATATCCCTTTTATAATTCAAAAACTTTATATTATATGTTTTTGATCTTTATGTTTTAAGTCTGCCGAATGTTGCAAAACTAAGAACCTCTTAAACCTTATTTTTTAGAAATAGTTAACATGCTTGTTTACATTACTTTAAAAATATATAGCACTTTAAAAAATACAACAATAAATTATACTAAACTTACCTGACCATCTTGAAAATCTTGAATAGAAAAGTTTTGACTATGAGATAAAAGGTCATTGTCAAGGAAAGCTTCACCACCTATTATTTTGGCAACAATATCGTAAGGCCACCATTTACTAGGAGCTCCTCCCGATGAACCAACTTGAAGTTTTTCTCGTCTATGAAAAATATACATAAATATAAGTAAATATAAGCACATCATTAACACCGTATAACGTTAATCAAATAACTTTAAATGGACAAATTATTATTAACGAAATAATTATTAACAAAATTAACGAATTATTAACGAATAATAAAATAACAAAATATTAACAAAATAATTATCTCCCGATGAACCAACTTGAAGTTTTTCTCGTCTATGAAAAATATACATAAATATAAGTAAATATAAGCACATCATTAACACCGTATAACGTTAATCAAATAACTTTAAATGGACAAATTATTATTAACGAAATAATTATTAACAAAATTAACGAATTATTAACGAATAATAAAATAACAAAATATTAACAAAATAATTATCAACGAGCTGTAAATCTTTAATACTGAATAAGATTCAAGTAATTTTTAATATAACACTCAGTTACAAACTAAATTGCAATTAGATATTATTACACATGGTTAGTTTTGTAAAATACTTTCAGTATTTCAGTAAGGTATCAAACATTAAATGTAGAATATGTACATACCTAAATTGTTTCCTCAAATTACTAATTTTAGATTGAATTTGATATCCAGTTAACGGAGGTACGATATTAAATGTGTTTGAAAATTCAGCTGCCATTTGTTTGTAAATATTTGTGTTTCTTCTTGCAGATGTTAATGCATTGTAATTATCTTTCCATAAATCTAATAATACTCTTGTGTTAGCCATATTCCATACAAATTTATTTAAAGGAGATGTGCAAAGACCAATATTTGTTGTGCTAGCGTCAATACACTCTTTTTCTGAATGCTGAGACATTGTGTAAAATTAAAGTTATACCTACTAAAAAGGATAAGTACATTGAATCTTGCAACAATAACAACAACAACAACAAAAAGAAGAGAAATAGTTAATAATAAAATTAAAGGTTAAACTTCATAATTGCTATAAATGTTATGGGCTTAAAATAAGTTAATAATGTTATGGGCTTACTAAATAATTTAATAAATTGCCAAAAACTGGTAGCCAAGAGAACAGAAACTTTCAGATGCAACTTTTACTTTTTTTTACTTTTCCATGCAATATGATAATTATGTTATTTAATAACATTGATCTTTCAACACTATTGTTTATTTTTATTTTTAAATGTCAATAATTGTAGTACATTGTGGCAAAGATATAAGGTACAGTCATATCAATACAGTCAATCAATAATATATATTCTGAATAAAGATCTTATTTTCACAATTATTCACAAACAAAAAAATAACTAATATTAAGTAAACACAGAATATTTGAGGAAAATACTAATGGTAATGTTCACAAATTAAAATAACAAGATAAGATAAAGCTAATATAATAAAATATATATGACATATAAATAAAATATATGACAAAGCTCATATATAACAATATATACCAATAATAATATCAATAATAATGTTAATATAAATAATAATAACAATGATGATAATAATGATAATAATATTAACAATTGTTATTGTTGTTATTTTTATCATTATTATTACTATTATTATTCTATTATTATAATTATTATTATAATAATAATTATTATTTTTATTATTATTATCACTGTTGGCAAGGCCAATGATAAACAACTCTGCTCATTAGTTCAAAGTTGAATTTTATAAATAAAATTACTATAAGTTTATTAAAAATGCATTAATAGCAATGCTTGCAAAGAATATAATTAAATAAAAACTATTAAACAATGAAAATTAAACTTTCTTAACACAAGTTAAATGTTACCTTGAATTATACTTCTTGTTAATTCAAATTAAAACTGATCTTAATAAGAATAATACTGTCTTTGTAATGTTATATTTTAAGATTAAGTTTTTAAACACACATATATAACTTCTTTTTAAATTAATAATATACTAATAATTAAATTTCTATTCTATTTATACAAATTTTAAATATCGTTAAAAATAACTTGAAATTTGTGATGGTCAAATAATTGTTTTTTAAACAATTGCCCACCATCTGGTCTACTCATGATTGATCCCACACGAGTGGGATCGGAATTTCCTTGGTTGCATGAAATTACCACAAGTTTTTACTCAATGAATAAATATATGAAATTATATTTAAAGAAATGTTTTGAATTAAATAAAAAAGATGGAAGGCAAAAACTAAAAGTTTCAAGGCAACATGTTGAAAGGCAAATAGTATATCGATAATCTTGTCTTGATATATGACCAAGACCTAGGACAATGCAGAGATCAAGGACTAAAAACTCTGGTTAAGATGACAACAACTTTGTAAAAAAAATAATTTAAGTTACTTTTACAACAAATTTGCATCTTGCAATGTATTTTTATTGAATCATTTAGCTTATATGCATACGCTTATTTTAAAAATAGTTGAAAATAGGCACCAATTTTTATACAAAACCAAATAAATGTTCCGGAACATTTATTTGTTCTGGGTTGGCGGGACGGTACAAAAGTTCCTCAAATGTTCCTTGAATTTTTGTTCCGTTTGCGCATAGTCATAAGAAATATATAGTCTGGAAGCAAACAATAGCGCTTTGTTTATGTTTTTGTTCCAGAAATTACTCGTTCTCATTCTTCCGAAGGTGCACAGTAAACATAAACATCGCATAGCGAAAGTATCGATCTCCTTATTTTCTTGATACTTTTATATTAAATTTAAACAATTGTAATTTATTTTAGTGAACTGATTACAATTTGCTTTATTATTATTTGTTCTTGCAAGCTTGGCATTGTTAAAAAAAAAAGATTTATTCAAAATTATGCAAAACTACATTATCCCATGTCAATAACTTATTATTATTAGACAACGTCTTAATAAGACGTTGTCTAATAATAATAAGTTATTGATATATATATAAGACTCTTATTGAATAAGACGTTGTCTAATATTACTTAAAAAGTTCAAAAGTCTATGAAATAGTTTTTCTTCGGTCTAAAACATGACTTTAAATAAATATGAAAATTAAAGACAAAATATATATATATATATATATATATATATATAATATATATTATATTTATGTATATATATATAATATATATATATATATAAATATATATATATATATATATATATATATATATATATATATATTATATATATATATTATATATATTATATATATATATATTATATTTATGTAATATACATATATATATATATATATTACATTAACATTTTTAGTTTAGAACATAACACTTCTGTGCCTAATGCCATCAATATATATATATGTATATATATATATATATATATATATATATATATATATATATATATATACATATATATATATATATATATATATATATATATATATATATATATATATATATATATATATATATATATATATATATATATATATATATATATATATATATATATATATATATATATATATTGATGGCATTATGCACAGAAGTATTAAGTTCTAAACTAAAAATGTAAATGTGGCAAAGACACTTTGAACATTTATTAATAATATCAATTAGTAGACTCATAACAATTTATCATACACTGACCATATTTGGACAAAATAATCTTTGAAAAATACAACAGTTTTTGTGAACTTAGCTCAATTTGACCAAATGTTGTACTTAACACTTCTGCACATAATGCCATCAATATATATCTATTTAGTTGTGTCAATGAATTAAAAACTAATAAAGTTTAAATGTATTTTGACTCTTTGATACATCTAGAATTAAAGATATATTTATGTGTTTACACAAGAATTTCTAATAAAATATATCAATTAGATTTTTGATTTTGTTAGACTTGACTACATAGAACAGCAGTTAAAGAAATAAATTTACTAGATACAATGTTAAACTAAAAAAATATTAAGCAAAATATTAGTTATATTATTTTATTAATACTAATTTATTTGTCATTCTCAGAATTTTTTAAACAAACAAAAACTTACAAAGATTTGAAAAAATGATTTTTTTAAATAAATTTTAGTTTTATATTTTTATTGGCAATATAATAAATATCATAAACAGTAAAGTAATTTTAGAATTTTGAAGCTAGTGAAAAAAATCTAACACTTAATATTCATAATAGTTAAATGTTCAAAAACATCAAACTTAAATACATTATACTGCATTTGCTTATACGCATCATGAAAAGTAAAAATAACTTGGAATTTTACTCACCGTTAATTAAAAATTGCTTTATTAGTCATGAATAGTGAAATCCAATCATTGAAAAAATATTTTCTTTCTCAGAATGTCAAAGAACAAAATATTTCTACCAAATTTCAAGTTTTTGTGTCAAAGAACAAAAAATCAATCAACATTAGTATTGATTTTTGATCTTTTGACACAACACAATAAACCATTTTACAAACATCTGGAAAAAAATGAAAATAATTATATAACATATTATATATATGTGTATATATATATATATATATATATATATATATATATATATATATATATATATATATATATATATATATATATATATATATATATATATATATATATATATATATATATATATATATATATATATATATATATATATATATATATATATATATATATATATATATATATATATATATATATATATATATATATATATATATATAATATATATATATATATATATATATATATATATATATATATATATATATATATATATATATATATATATATATAAACTACATATATTTACCTACAGCTACTGTGTTTTGTCAAAATAGTGGATAAATTTTGCAAAACACTTGCTCAGCTGTGCAACTAATTATTACATCAGTATAAATTTTAATATTAATGCCCGAGAGATTCTAATTTAACATTCAAAAGTTTTCTGGTGGAATAATTCACCATTCATCATTAAATAAGATTTTAGTTTTCTCTTATAAATAGTTGTGTTTTTTTTTTGTCACAAATGATACATGGAAGTACATTCCAAAGTTTAGGACCATAGTGTGATAATGCTTAATAACCAAAACGATTGCTGCATTTTGTTTCTTTTAATTTTAATTTTTAGTTTTAATATTTTTTCTGACATTCAGTAGTAAATAAAATTGCATAATGATTTTAATGCTTCCAGAATAATATATTTGTGTATTATTAGAAGATTTTATTTCACTTATGCTCTACCAGAGTAAAGGTTAAATTGTTTATATGGTGCTCCTCTGTAGCAAAATTATAATAAAACAATGGCACGCCTTCAGTGTGGTAAAATGTTTTTTTGACTGCAACAAGTATGATATCTCTCATGCTTTTAGAGCACAGATTACCATCTTTTCATACAATTATTTCGAACTACAGACATGCTTTTTGTAAACAGTTGATGGCTTGTTCCTTTGTGAATAATTCCATGCGTTCATTTAATCAAAGTTTAAAATAATATTTTTCTTGTAAAAACTATGGACCTGGCACCTAAATTGTATCTGCCTGTTGTCTGAAATATATTTATAATAATAATAATAATAATAATAATAATAATAATATATATATTTATTATCATATTATATATATATATATATATATATATATATATATATATATATATATATATATATATATATATATATATATATATATATATATATATATATATATATATTATATATATATATAGTAGGTATGCGGAAATAGCCGTTTTACGGAATCGAATTTTGTGCTAAAATTCTGTGCCACGTTTTTTGAATTTTTTTTGAGGCAGCGTCAGACAAACGTTTTGTTGTGGTGTTTCTTTTTAGAAAAGTATATTAACATAGATTATTTTTGAAAAGAAGAGACTTATATGCATATTTTTATGAATCAATTATGTATGGATGATTTACTTTTTATTGACTTTATAGATATTGAAAATTTACTTGATGTTGTCACGTGAAATTTGTATTGATGGAATGCTGAGACATTTTGCAAAACTACTGAGACATTTTTTTACATCCTTTATTTATTCACCTGCCAAATTTCAAGAAAAAATAATATGTAGCAGATAATTTAAAAAGTGTAGCAGTTTTGGTACCTAAATTTTGTTTTCACAAATTCGCGATGGGTGTTGTTGTGGTTGGGGGAGAAAGTCGGAATCTACATACTATGTATATAACAATAACAGTAATAATATTACTGTCATTATTATTGTTGTCGTTATTTTAATAATTTCATTGTTTTATATTTATTATTAAATCATAATTTATGTATATAATATAAATACACTATATTATGGTTTATTCTTTAATATTCTTTTA